GCGGTGCACTCCCGCGCTGCTCCTCCCAGGGGAGGAAGGGGAGTCTCCCCCGATCTGCTACTTGTTGGGTCCCTGCTGGAGGAGCAGTGGCCTGACTGCCGTGGAGCACAGTTTATGGTAACCCCGAGTTGAGAGCCCACTCCTCGGCTCCGTCTCTGCAGCCGGCTTCCCCACTCAGATATCTGGGAGCTCTGCCACACTCAGGCACCCCCGGTCTTTCTGTGCGAGGGTTCCACCCCCCGCTTAGCCACTGGAGTGACATCCCTCAGCGGAGCAGACTTCTAAAAGTTCCAATTTTGTGCTCCACTGCTCTATCACTTGCTAGTAGCGGCTGATGGAGGCTCCCTACCCCCGCCGTCTATCTTCCCGAATATTGCCTCAGATTCACTTCTCCGCACATCCTGCCTTCCAGAAAGTGATCACTTTTCTGTTCAGAGAGTTGCTGCTCTTCTTTCCTTTGCCCTCCTGTTGAGTTCGTAGGTGTTCACAATGGTCTGATACCTATTCAGCTGAATTCCTGGGACCAGACCCAATTTAGGTCTCATACTCCTCCACCATCTTGCTCCTCCTCCAAAAAGTCTTGATTTTAAAAAGCCTACTTGTCACAGTATCTCAGATTCTTAAATCAATCTTTGTTGTAGAACTTTGACCACAGTAGGATACAACAGTTGCTAATACTCACTTCGGCTGGGACTGCTCCGGTGCTTTCCTTTGATAGGATTAATGGTTACCCATTCGCTGAGGAATTGCACTTTTACTTAATGCAGATATAAGGGCAGTCTTGAACCAGTGCTATCTTATCTCCTTTCTAGTACTTTTACTTTGTTAGTTAAGGAATATCCTCAAGTCAATGATTATAACTTTACTGTGTAATTTTTCCACAACGTCCTCACATCTTGAATTTTATGTGCCTTTCGACTGAAGAAGGAAAGAGGGTTAGTAAGTGAATACATGTGCCATACGATCGGCATGGTACATGTATAGCTGTGTAGAGGAACTCTCAGTGTCGTTCCTTTCAGATTTTGAAATAAAAATATCTTAATACTGCCTACAGTCTCTGGCTAAAAACCACTTGTCCCCTTGTATATTCTGCAGCTTGCCAGTCTGTGGCAGTAAACGGGGTTTCCTAACATTGATGGTGGTGGCCTCTGGAATTGCTCTGATCTCTTCTTTTCTGTTGCTACCACCTCTGGCCCTTCTGAGGGTATGCACAAAGTTAGCCACTCTGTTAGAAAATGTACCCAAGAAATCAATGAAGAAAGTTTCTAACTTGATGTAGGAGACTCTAGAATTGAGTTTGATGAGTGTTGAGCACTATGTATGTGTCAGGCACCTGCCAGGCTCTGGGGAAGGAACGCAGCCCCTGTCCTCCACTCTGTGTCACAGGAAAGGCAGACATACATAAATGACATAAAAGGTACTTCACAAAAGTACCTTTAAAGAACTGTGAAAACCTGAAATGATGATGAAAACTAATAATTCTGTCTGAGTAGTAAACTTTATGGAATCCAGCTGGGCCTTGAAGGATGGCAGGAATTTCATATGCAAGCGAGGCAGGGGAAAGGCTCTCAGAATGAACAAAGGCAAGAAGGTGTGGGAGCACGTGTTTAATGCTGACCTCTGGGGGGTAGTTCACTTAGGACCTCTGGAAAACAGGTAGAGGAGGCCAGGAAAGGTAGGCTGCTGCCATCTGTGGATGAACTTTGTGCCTCGACCAAGAATTTCACTTTTATTTTGTTAGCAAGGTGGACATTTTTAAAGAAAAATAATTTACCTCAGTGGTTCTAAAGACAAAGATTAAATTGATAGAATCTCTGCTTGTAGTCCAAGAGAAAACAAAGGTTTTTGATGTACAGTAGAATGAACATAGGACACAACAGCATGGAAGGTAGCCTTTGCTAAAGTTCTAAGTTATCAAAATGGGCTGTAACAGAATTTATCAAATTTGTTAAAAATTTGTGTGCTCTTAATGTAGAAACTGGGCTTTTGTAACCCCCTTTTCATTCTGTTCTTAGTGAATAATACACTTTATATGGTAATTTTTTCTTATTTTGTAACTATGATGTCAAAGTATATGATTAACCTTACCTTAAGACACTTCTCCAAATTAGATTGTCAACAAAAAGTAGTTACTGGTGATCACATAACATAACAAGTTTACCTTCACACTTAACACTCTTGAATTACAGAAACAGCAGGGTTTGGTTTTGTTTTCTGGTCATTTGATTTGATACTCAAGGATAACTAGCTCTGTTTTTCAATGCCTTGGGAATAGGAATGAGTTCAGCCATGATAACTTACTTAAAAAGCATTTATATTTACCATAGAGGCATTCCATAAAAGCTTCTATTCCCTGGTATAATACTGTGAACCATCATTAGGGCGAAAAGCATATAAACAAATGTACTGTCAACACTGAACAAAAATTAATATGAATTAGCAAGCATGGAAGTTACAGGTTCAAGTGGAGGAACTAAGGGGGTATTGTTGCCATCTCTTCCAATTAATGGTAAAGATTTTACTGCAGTGTTAAGTTCTCAGAAGTTTCCTGAATAAAGAAAAGGAAATTTGCAGAGCCACAGGGGAAAGACATTGGTCGTCCCTAGGTATTCATTCACTCACTCAAGAAACATTTAAGGGCATGTTTTTTTCCCAGACATTGTGCTAATCACTGGGGATTCAGAATAAGAAGATTGGAATTCAGTAGGTTGACCACAGACGATTCGAGTCTAGAACCTAGACCTTGCTTAAGCCAATATTTTAGAGTTTCTGTCATTTCCTGTAGGTACTGTCAGATGGTTTACAGAGGAAAGAAGAAATATTAGGAAAACCAATTGATCCTTATTTTTTTTTAATGCTAACTGGAAATTATTCTGGTTTTAGGCTCTAAAACAAAGAGAAGCAATCCTGAAACTCATCTTGAAAAATGAAAATGTAAGTAGAAAATTTCAATTTTCCCCATCTTATAAATATGTTCATGAAACCATTTTAGAGGGAAATGAAAAAGTAACCTGAGAATAAACAGCTTTGTACTTGGCATAAATCACTGTAAAACTGTTGGCTGTTCATGCAAATCAGTAACCCTGGTGCATTTGAACTTAATAAAGATGGTCTGCTTTTTTTAAAGCCCTGTGTTTTCGTATCTACAGATTAAAATCTTCTTTGATATTTTCAGACTGTTCTCCAGTTATATAAGATACATTTATTTTTGTACAGCAGTATGCAGGGTTTTTTTTAATTTATTTAATTACAGTATTTTTTGAAATTGGAATTTAGATTTAAGAAGGTATGATAATCAAAATCTTTAATAGTTTGTGTATTTAAGGTCACGTGCTTCAGGATTAAAATAAGTATGTTAAATGGTATTCAGGGAAGATCTCGCTTCCTCTCCTGTAATTCTTCTGTATCCTTTCAGATGGCATTGTCCATACCAGCAAATCAGAATATGCTATTATTCCTCTTCCCTATTTTACATAAACCATATTAATAAACTGCATACACTGTCCTGTGCATTGCTTTTTTCACTCATCTTTGAGATCTTTCCATATTA